CTTGCAGTTGAGCAGCATATATCTGCTTCGAATTATTCCACAAAAATATCAAAGAAATCCGCCCAAATTCAAAGAGAAGCAAAAAAGAACAATTACCTTCGGTGGTAAACTCCTCATAAAGTTATGGCACATAGCATCTTGTGCTGATATCCGGTCTCTGCCTTCGTACTGTAATTCAAAAACCTTTATTTGAACCATCAAACTGAATAACTCCAAAGCGAATATGTACCTGCAAGAATCTCAAAAGGAGATCGTGGCCATTTGCATCTAGCCTGGGTATTTGTCTTGACAACGGTTCTGGATGATAGACTTTCTGAGCGAAAGGAGCATACGCAGGTCGAGCGCAAATGGTCGCATGGCGATCGGTTCGTGGAGATCCAAGAGTCCTAAAAAAATAGTGGTTATCGCCTATCAAGAAAGATTTTTGCTTGAATCGCTAAAAACGCTCCCCTTACCTAAATATCAATCCTAATTGCTCATCGGTTGTCGATCCAGGAAAAAGTGCACGTCCGGCTATCATTTCAAACATTATACAACCAACTCCCCACATATCGATATGTGTTGAATAATCAGTAGATCCTAAAAAATTTCTATATTCTTTTCGGAATCATCCAACATGGTCTTTTTCTGAGAGCAGCTTTAAAAAAGTGCGGTGGCAATTCCCTGCAAACTCCAAAACTCCTCAAAAATTGATTACTTCATGCATTCTAGAGAACTTGCTCAACTAACTTCAAATGCATATCTCATCTAATGCTGTCATGGAATTGAAGCTTGATGGAGAACGAATGCGGGAAAAAATCTCATCGACAAAGCCATTAATCCGGATAGAAAAGTGTCAAGAAAAGACCAAAGAGCCTATTCTCTTTGACGCTTTATGAATTTCAAATCTGCTTGAGATCCACCGATACAGAAGTTGGAAGTGAAAATTTGGACATCTTTTGAAAAAAAATTTGCGATGTAAGTTTATTGACAACGCGGATGGAACTAAACAAAATTTGCAAATCCATCGGCAAGGTTCATTAAAAAAAGAAAATTAGAAAAAGAGCTAAAAAATGAAAAAGTCCTAGAACTGCCTTTTGAGAATATAAAATCATCGCAGTCTAACAAGTGGTAAGTGCAGTAAGGCCGTGGGCATACTTCACGTGATTTCAGTCGCCAAGCGATTTGGCAACTGCCAGATGTCTTCAAATTCAATACTGTCTTCAATACAATACCCCAAATCACTGCATGTATGACTGACTGTAAATTTATAAAATGCCATATCATCCGTACATTCAGAAACGCCTTACGATAAGTTATGAACAACTGGAATATTGCCAAATCGCGTGCCAGCTGAAATCGCGTGAGGTATGTTCAGGGCCTAAGCTTTTTGAGCAAAAAAATTCGCTATAAAGTTTCTGACTTCCAGATCCAGATCTGCGCTCATTATTAGTCCATTGTTGTCCATTATTGGCCCATTTGTTGCAAAGGATTTATAAGAGGTACCAACAAATGCTACACGTAAACTTATGAATCTTCATTTTTCGCATATCTGCTTATCATCTTTCACAAATCTTGAAAAAAACCGGTTTTTTACATACCCTCTTTTCTTACTAGCAAAATCATCATATTTCTTTGCATAAACATAAGACATCAAACTCCGATGAGAACTTCAGCAAATTTTATGGATCCATTTTCAACGTGCTTCATTTACCGAAGTAAATAAGCTTTGGAATACATAGAAATTTTTCGAATTTTTTTT